ATACATAAATAAATGAATAAACATAACTGACCAGCCCAGCAACAGCACTTTCTGGTTTATTATAAAAAAAAGGAAATAGCAAATCTCACAATGATCAATTGTATACAAAAAGAAGTTGACTTTTATATCAAAATAATAAAACATAAAATGAAATACTTATAATATAAAGAGCAATTGTCAAGTAAAATGAACCAGCAACGGCGATGAAATTGCTAAAAGTGCTTTAATTCAAGGTAATGAGGAAATAGAAATTGTCCTGAAAAGGAAAGGCAAATATGGTCAAATAAAAAATTTAAAAGTTCCGCTTTACCGCCAAATGAGAAAAAAGGAGAAGACAACAAAATTATTATTGTGGCACCTTTTCACGCAATTTCGTTATTGTTCCTTTCATTTCAGCCATTGATTTTTGCATCACCTACCCTTTTCATTTTCATTCCTCTATTTACTCACTTTTCTTCATTCTCCTTTAGCTTTTGATTTATTATACCGTGCAGGCCACATTGTATCAATGTTGTTGAAGTAGCCAGAAAGTCACCGGATGCTGGTTCCTTCTCTGTTAAGAAGAACACATTTTTTGTTAAAGAGAGGACTAGTATAAACACAAATGCCTTGACAAAGTAAAAATCGATTGGCCATTTTAACACAATCAATAATGTTTGCAGAATATTTGAGAGATAAACCACCCAGAAACAAGTAATATATTAACAATCTTCCATTCAATTACTTTTTCCGATCTCTTTGAGTTATAACACACCGCAAGACAAAGTATTATTGTCGTAATAATAACAATCCAGAATGTTGGGATGACTATAACTGAAAAATATTAAGAATACAAATATAGAAAGAAAGAATCCAAAAAACTTTTGGTTTTAAACCTAATTATCACAACTACTGGCAAACCCATGTTTACGATTGAAAATATCTTTATACTCGGTAGGCCAAACAACCAGCGGAATCACTCAAACGACTGTGTTGTATAATTTGTCATCCAGAAATGGCCAGTTTTCCCTGAAACATTGAACAGAATGACAAAAAAAAACTGGAAAGAATGTATTAATAATTGCATCATACACATAATCTTCAAATTCATATTCTTCGTTAGGGTTTCTATTTGTAAATACAAGTTCTTATTCGAATTATTTGTAATACAGTCAATCTTTAATACGAATTAAAAAATTTATTCGTTTTATCCGTTTTATTCAATCACTAGTTTATTCATTTATAAAATATAGTCTTATTTCTTTTTAACAAGTTAATATAAACAATAATTATAATTATATTCTATATTATACTATGGTTGCTAGTACTATGACTTAAGGAAAATGTCAGCCACTACTATTTATTATTATCACTATATTCAAGAACTAAGAAAAAATAAATTGATAAAGAAAAAAAATTTTAATTGGATTGGATTATTCGAATTATTATTATTAATTTTATTATCGTTCAATCTTTTATTTTATTGTGTGACAACGGGATATCGTAACCTCTGATTGGTATAGTCATCTCTTAAAACAAAAATTTTCAATGAATACATTTCGTTTACAAAAGCATTACTATTGTTCAGTTGATATATCCTTACATACCATGAAAAGAGTCAAGATTTGGCCTCCATTGCTAGGTATTTGTGATGGCATAAAATAAAGGTTATGTGAAAAAATTAGTAATTTTTTTTTGTAGTATTTTTTTCTTCTTCCTCCTTAATTACATTTTATCGTTTTTTTTTGATTGTAAGAAATGTATGCCTAAATCTAATTACTTATTAACAAAGAATGCTTATCAAAGGTAATTATATTTATCAACTTTGGAATGATTTTAAATTTACCTGTTTATAATAATTAATTAATATTTATGAATAGTTTAATTACAAATTAACTTAATCACATTTCAATGATTCTACTGAGACCTGAAGATAATGATAATAGCCAATAATAATTATTTTTATTAATACATATATATTATTACTATTATATTATTTATTTACAAAAATCAATCATAAGGTGTTATTATTATTGCTATTTTTTTAATTAAAAAAGATTGTTCATACTCACATAAACTTATAAATATAAATTTTTATTTGTATAGAATAAGCGGTATTAAAACTTTCACCATCTCTAAAACAATTTCAGTAAAAAGATATATGGATTTTTCATTGAAAGTATGATACATTTGGAAATGCATATGTTGAGATGTTGAGAGATATGAACAAGCTCGATTTAGTAATGAAGAAAAACATAGAAATTGCTGTGAGAATTGAATTACATTGCAGAATGATTTATTAATAATTCTTGTCTTTAACAATAATGATGATATGCATTTTTATTGATGCAAACCTCATAACTTCATTATAAGTTATTATTAACAAGAGGTTATAATCATCATCTTCACCATTTCCTCTTCCTCCCTCTCTTCTCCCTCTTCTTCACCATTTTGTTTTATTTTATGATGACCCAAACAAAAAGCTTGTGTTAAGGGTAAACATACAGACAGTGGGAATTTGATTCCTTTTACTGTCTTTATTCTATATATTAGGATAATATTTTAACCCTTGGGAAGGTCTGAGAAAAGCCATTTAAAAGTATCTAGCTGGGACACTTGTGAGAATGAGGACAAACAACCAGAAATGATACATTCCTTGATTTGTTAAACATGAAGTCATTCTAAATGACTG